GCATGGTGTACCATGTGTAGTTGGTTCGCCTATATGCAAATCAGCCCGCGTACAAGTTGGTTCGCTCACGAGCTAGCTGAACAAGCCATGCATGAATTGACAAAACTGCGTACGAGTTGGCCAGTGTACAAGTTGCCTCGCGTACGAATAGAAATGGTTCCTTCCTGCAGATGCACAGTGGAAACGAAATCGAAATTGAGGTTTTCTCTGACGACCGAGTCGACCGATTGCCTATTTTTTAAGTGGTGCACATCTTTCATTTAGGTGTTTGCCCATTTAACTGATACGCTACTCCATACGTTTGTATTTAAAATTTTTATTTGAAATAAAAAAATTGGGGAAACATTTTACAAGAAAGGGAAACATTTTACAAGAAGATTTGAACTGGTTGAACCGTGACCCCTTTCCAGTGTTTTCAAGAATTGTCCTTGGAAATAGTCGACAATGAGTCTTGCCAAAAAATGATAGTCGTGAAACAGCTTAAATTCTGAAGTTCGGCCTACACTGACAAAAACGTGGAAGCTTTTCGGAATGAAATATTGTATTGCAACTGGTTTGCAATGTATTAAAATTCGCACACGGAAAAACCGGGCTTTGAAATTATAAACCAAAGGGAGTCAACTGATGAAGGCACATTTCGACAGACCATAGCTGACTCATTATTCATTACCGTGTTGCCAAGAATTGTTTGCGATCAACACCAGTAACTTAAACTAGTATCATTTGCTTCTGCGTATACTAGAAAAGAAAGGCTTTTTAGGTGAAAGGTGGAAGGCGACCGATGCTTGAGTGACGGGCTCCAGTCGACCGGCAGTTCCACGATCCCAGTCCGTGATTCTCGGCCGGCCCGGCGCCCCCTGCTGAGAAACCCGGGACTCATGTTTCTTTCTGCTCAGTGCAGTTTCATAAACAGTTAACACTAAGTTCTGCACGTATGAACTGGTGGAATGTGCAGTTCAGGATTTCAGATTTGAAGGTTCAGTGCACGCCTGAGCGGGACCTCGCCCAATGTTGTATGCATGTCATGACCGCAACACGTGCATTGCCATAAATCAAAATGAACGTTAGAAGTGAAATCGAAAGGGTCGTTGTCCTTGTCCTCTTTCTTAAACATTTATCCACTGTCTTTAATTGCAGGGTTTGCAAATTAATGCAACCTGATCGGAAGAGCTGTTTTATTTTCTCCCAATGTTAGAAACACACTAGATTTCCCCTAACTGTATCCCTAGATGTAGACATGATAATTTTCTCTCAAGTAGTGCGTTCACCATTTCACCGTTCTCGGTTAAGTCTGCACTGTGTAGTTTCTGGTTCAACTATTTGAAAAGGGACAATAAACAGGCATTTAAACATTCCTCCCCCCCCAAAAAATGTGATTATCTCTTCAACAGAAGAGGCAGGCACGATTTACATGTATACACTCAACACACATCAATTAAATCACAATAGCCCCGAAACCTGCCACATTGAGTTGAACATAAATGCTGCAGAGAAGTCAAAGCTATTACACCAAGTGGAACAGGGGCGGATATTGACCCGGGGCGTGGGGCTGCTCCCCCCCCCCCAGTCGACAAATAGAGCTTCGGTCGGCAAATGAATCCAATCTTGGTACATAAGCCATATACGTTGGACGTCGGCATTTCCCATTTTATGATTTTCCACGCTCACTGAATTTTACACGACACGAGATTGGCGAACAAGTTACGAGTCAGCAAATTGACTCTAGCACACCCCAAAGAAAATGCCTTCGTCACGCCCCTGAAGTGGAGCCAGCGTATGGACAGTCCCGCGCCAGTCAGAGCACTAACCCGTCTTCATTGAGATACGATGCCCTGGCTTGAACAATCTCTCGTGACCTAAATGCCCAGTGACACAAGATCTTCAATCAAAACCCGATGTTTTAAGGGCTAACCTCACAGCGCTTAACGCTGATGGTCCGACTGAGCATGGACTGGGAGTGTTTTTTAGACCATCCCAGCTCTGCGAATAATGTTTTTGTTTCTCATGATAAGTGAGGAAGTCAAGATGCAAAAGACTGGTTTCCTGTGACGTCAGCAACATTTTCGCGTTTCGTACCAGTTTAGGAAGTATTCGCCCAACATATTCATATTTATGTCCATCACTAAACTTGCAGTTCCCCATGATGTAGAGAAATGCAAGAAACAGGCTATAGAAATGAAGTAAAAACTGTCCCAGAATCTCCATCCCCGCTTGGAAATTTGCAAAGAATCAAAAAGATTTTGTTTTTCCGTTTGTTTTAATACGATGAATTACCATAAATTTATTAAGACCATCCTGAGGTATAGTGCCGTTATATTAATTCTATGGGTCTTGAATTTGATCTGAAGATTTTCTTCAATCTATAATATCAATATGGTTTCTGCTAAGACATCTATACAATTAGACTTTATCGATTGAATGTATGATCTTGTGTACGCGTTCACCCGGCTCTTCCATGTCGAAGTTACGAAATGGCGTAATCTCCACAAAAATCACAACCAAATGACTTCCCATGTTCCGGCCATGTTTTACACATTAGTGAGCGTATGCAAGTAATCAGTAACCTTCTAGAGCAAATATACGTACAACGTGCCTATGAATAGATATCCTATGTGTGTGTGATACTGTCACACAGACCAAATGTTGGTAATAGTGGATTATTCTGGAAACGCCAATTACAGAAACTGGCACTCACGGATATCCCAAAATGAACTATTCCTAGATAGGCCTAATAATTGTTATGGAGTCACTGTTCAACTAATCATTAAACGACAACGTTTACTATTTTCAGTGAGACATACAAGACTCATAATGTTTCAATGTTTCGTTGTGTTAGTCGCATCTATTGAACGTTGATACCTGTAAATTCCTGGCTTCAAAGCGTTTCTTTGTACCAATATTCTCGGATCGTCTGTCGTGAAATCACAGCGATAAACTTGCACATTTATCTCTGTATAATCATGGAGGTAGAATGGTATAATGCAGTCCTCGACCCAAACAATCCCTGCGCGACCGCGATTACCCCCTGATAGCCTTTAATAGTCAAAAGTCCACCGCACCTGATGTCCTATCTTCTGCCATCATTATCTCCAAACGCAGATAAAACTGGCTTGACATTTAGGCTAAGTTTCCGCTTACTTCGGCCACCTATATCCCATCGACGCCTGTGTTCGGTTCCTTGGTCTTTCTGATTATTTGGACCAATGCCGGCAACCAACAGCAGCAAAACATCAGTGGCACAATACTTTGAAACACGCGATTGAAAAACGATCGGACAGCACATGAAGACAAGGTTGAGTGTGCCGTTGCATTAACTGAACGGAGTTTCTCAAATTGTGCAAGACTACTGAGATTTTCCAGCACTGATTTAGTTCCACTCGAAATTCAACCTCTTAAAATGACAACTTCAACTGTCTGCCGTTCACCCCGTCCCCCCACGATGTGAATGTGTTAGATTTGCTGTCTTAAATTTCACTTTCTCCGGTGTTTCATTGTGTCGGCGACAAGCCGACGAGCCCCCCCCCCCCGCAGCCTCAACGAAGCAAATTTTATGTTCACAATTGGAACAGAAAAACTGAATAGTGACATGATCGTGCTCCCGGAATGACATTATAGTGACACCGCTCTCTGTTAGGGTCCAGAAAAGCGTGGACAAATCTAAAAGTTTAAGCGGTGCATCTTTTTAGTGCGATTTAACCAGAAGGGATGTTTACTCGTTCCAAGGTTTGACTCTTCAGTGGATCGTGGGTCAGGTTGGCTAGGTTTCAGGTGTATCACGTTCAATCCCCGGTTCAAATCCCAGCCATTGGCAAATCCAGGGGAAATTGAAAAAAAGGTTTTTTTTAGTAATGAGAAAATTGTTGAGTTTTTTATCTTCATTCTTTTTTTTGGGGGGGGGTCTCATTTCCCTACAGAGCGTGTAAAAGGTTCCAAAATGTAGCCGTACCTCCTAGAAAGGCCTTACAAGGTAAAATCATAAAATTTCCAAATTTCTTCCCACCGACACCCCCGCCTTGTGGTTCTGGATCCGCCATTGATCCTGGCCACTTCTTCGTCTGGATTATCGATATATTCCTCCTACATCCACAAAGTGCCAATTCGTGCTCGAAAGCGTGACGTCACGACAACTTTTTGCTATACAAATCCGTCAATGTTGAACACTTTTTCAACTCTCTGCTTTATAGCTTCGTCTGGCATCCGCCCGGATGGGGGGGGCAACGTAACCTTGGTGTTCATTCTTATCTTCACAGTGTCAAACTTGGCAACATCTTTGAGGGGTCGATGAGGAGGCTTTAGAGATATACATAACACGAGGAAAAGAAACAAAGTAGCTTTAAAATATGTTATGCACAATTCCACAGTTGCGTTAACTCCATAAGGTTCTCTTTCGAAGATTTTTCGGTTCAACACTCCGAAATAAAACAAATGTAATAACTTGTTTATCTTTTGAAATGTTCTTTTAAAAAAATCCAATAATTGGTTCAATGCGGATTTACTGTTTGATCCTCCCTGTAATAACTATGATCTATCTTTTCATTACAATGATACTTGCACTGTAGTTTGGTTTTTATCACTTGTTGAATTTCAGATTTGTATGATGCATTTTGAATATTTAATGCCCCCAGAAGACCATCCTTGCAACAGAAGAAAAGAAACCTGGGAGCCCGGTGGTCCAAAGGGACTCGGGAATTGCACGTTCGAAGTTGTGTTGTTTAAGCCCACACAAATCCTTGAGATGGACAGAAATTATCGTTAGTTTCGCCCGTTGCTTCCAGAAACAACTCCTTTGCTCTTGAATCTGGAAATGCAGTATCTCTTGCTTACAGATTCCAGTGGTATCTTCCGATTTCTAGCTGTGATGATAAGTCCCCCACCCCCGGATGTCCGTGCACGCGAAGTGGTCAGTTGCATTGTGATTGGCCGATCTGCAAGCGCTTGCGTCATAAGCTATGAGCCACTGACGGAAGTACAAGGTTATTACGCACGTGTGTAAATGTGCACACACTGCACTCCCAAGTCTATAAAAGTGTCGTGGATGGACAATTCCAGCAGTGAGAAAAGAGAGACCAGTGGAAGAGAACGTGGGATTATTGAAAGTGTCAACCGTCGAAGCAGATTCGGGACTATAACGCTGCTGTCAGCTCTTCGAAATCCGATTCCGGCCTCAGATCTACAAGCAGGAGAAAATGGTTTCTTTGGCGATGTCCTCGCTGTTTTCGCTGACCATGTGCGTGCTTCTGGTATCCGTGACTTCAAATCCAGTGACGTCACAACCAGGTAAGATGGTACGCGATAACACTAACATCCCACACCCCAGGGTATTCCAATGATGTGTGTGTAGCTGAGGAAATCAAATTGGCACCATGGAGTCATTTCCCCCCAAATCTGTGGCGGAATTGTCCATTGTAACGCGCTTCTTTTCGTGGTCCTTTTATTACTCTGTTCCGATGCGAGGAAGAACATAAAGGTTACGATAACAGATGAGGTACATCGGAATTTCGGTGACATTTCCTCAAAACAAAACGATTTCTGTTTGTCTCTCCTCCGTGGTTTAACTGAAGCACGAGACAATAGCGACATTTCATTCAGTTTGTTTACAAAGTAAAATCTTTGGACCTAATTGGGTTTGTGTGGTCGTAATTCTTGGCTTTAGGCTCGGTAATAAAACGTGTATCCGTTTGTTGGTCTGTGTCTCTGTTTATTTTGCGTCATGTGTTTGTTATTGTCCCTATTTAGGAGAGAACGAGAGAGATTGCTTTGTACACACTCTTGGCTGCGGCTTAAAATTACACACCACTCGATGGGAACCGGCCACGGCCACTGACATAGACTCGTGCGTAATTTCCAGCCGCAGCCAAGTAATTCGGACACGGCCTTATTCACTGTAGGCCGAGTCCTTTCTCTGTATAGTCCCAGTTAAACTGCTCATGTCGGGTGATACGGAGAGAAGCCAATAGCAAAATTCCAGAGGCACAAATCCTGACACAGTATACGCCCCCCCCAAAAAAAGCTCTGTCGAGTGTCGACATACTTGACCTGATGGTACTAAAATTATAATTAAAGGCAACATACTCGAATTTCAATGCATAATGTACCGTATAGTTGGATTCATTGTATCGAAAAAGGAGTCGATATACATCTGCGTTGCGCTTGTATTTTCTTGGCTTAAAAACTGGACCCCAGTTTTCATACGAGACAGGCCACTGGGCTTTATGTCACCTAAATATTTATACCCAATTAATTGTATGTGTGTTTTTGTGTGTTCATTTCACGGTGTGTTGCCTTCCGAGTGAAATCGAGACAGACAGCTCACTATTCAAATTACAGACATGCACGATCTGGGGCGATATAGCACAGACTTGGAGAGAGTTCCTTTTGAGTGGCAAAAATTTACGGCCAGTGCTTGATTGGTTTTTGATGGAGGACAAAGCGATCGATTGCACTCCCCTCACGGTTGGCGAACCAACCGAAAGTCACGCGAGCAATAATTCATCCGAAATGCAACACTAGAAGGTGATGCAACCCTACCGTAGCGCGGTGCACAAGTTGGGGTGGGATAGATAAACCCACATCGTTTGAAGAGCATACTTATTATTGCCACCTATTCGATCAAACAAGCTAGGTATCATTGTCTTTACGCTCTAGTGCTACTGTTTTCATTATCCGTCCAATCAGAAAAGTTTTAACCTGAAGTGAATACACATACATGTATTGTCATCCGAGTACCGACAATTCGGAAGCCGTTGTTCGCAAATCACGCACGAGTCACTTTTTTTTCGAAATTGAGCCATGGATATGATTCATTGGTTTCAAAATGACAGAAGCGAACATTTTTGGTGATCCAAGGTCATTGCCTCGCATTCCGAAGACTCGAAGCAAACTTGGACTTGGTCCAAGATCATGGGACCTGAGCGCTGATTTATTAATAGGCACAGTAGGCACTGTGCTAAGAGCCTACGAAAAAAATAGTGCCTTTGAAAAACCTTTGAGTACTCCACAAAAACAAGTAAACGAATGCACATGAAACGTTCCAGCTAGTTCATGGCTTAACACCAACACAAAATATAAAAAGGCTTCAACTAGCGCTGGCCAGCACTCCAATTATGAAAATCGGCTCACGTTTTCGGTGAAGGGGGCAACATTCTGGAAACTTCTTAATGTAACTTTGTAAGGCCGTAGTGAGAGATGAGATTAAGTATGAGGGCATTTTAGTGAAATGCTCCTTCAAGTCGCCTTTCCTCACTATTCCCCCCCCCAAAAAAAATGCTCTCCCGGCTCAACCCCAGATCCATCGATGAGACGGCGACGCATATTTGTATGCATGAAGTCCAACAGTAACAAGCAATAAAAGATCTTATCGCTTGTGTAAGCATGCTACCGTGCAGTTCATGCAGCTCTGCTTCTTGGTAATGGATATTTGCCGATTTCTGTCAGCTTTTACATCGAAGAGTCATGCTGGCGAGTATCATCTCCTTTGCCTTCGCCACTATTAATGTATCTTCGCCGTCTAAGATCTGCGGTCGTTATGGGCAACGGGTTGGGCGATTTCGAATGTTTATTGAACGCATCCCCGTATATTCAACGCACTTGTCGATGTTTATCGTAAGCAGCGATCTTCCCGGCCATTGGCACACATTTCTTCCTCCACTTTATCCGAGGTATAGTTTAGTTGATTCTCTTCAGAGAGACGGTTTATCGGGAAGCTCTTTGGAAACGTTGGACCGCTCATCACGCCATTCATTTCTATTCTCGAAATTAACCAGAAGCTGTGGGGCAAATTCTCATATTTCTTCGCTAAAGCTCGGTGGTCAGTGCAGCGACTAATTTAAAAAATGAAAATCCAATTCAAAGTGTGGAAAATATTTAAAAACTACACTGATGAGTATGCATGCAAGTCAAATGAAATCCAAGATTCTCAAAATCCTCGGTGGGATTTACTTACAACATAATATTCCCTTCCATTGACCATGGGGGGGGGAATGGAAACGACACAAGTCAGTATGACCAGAACCATAAATAAAGTCACGTGGTTCATTTTGTGAAACACAAGGTGGCAATCGAGAATTGAGGACCAGATGGCTCCAGAATTTATTTGGATTAAATTTTGTGTACCCGTTGGACTGAATACAAACGTATACGTAGGGTTAGCCTCGACCAAGGCTGTTCACTTCATTTCCATAGACTTTTTGGGTGCGTTGCGTACACGATGCGTTCGTTCGTTTCACTTTCACAGACGCAAAAATTAATTCCATTAACACACGTGTGCTTTGCGTTAGTGCCGTCAAAATCGCACCGGGAGCGATTTTGACGGATACGCAACGTTTGGCCCAATGTGTTGACGCGCGTATGAAAAGGCACCTTAAGGCGCACACGAGTGTTATGTTAGTGGAGTCGATTTGGTGTCGGTGAAAGTGAAACAGACGAATGCATCGTGCACGCAGCGCACCCAAAAAACGTACACGGGGAAAGGCGCCTTTATTGTCGGATTCACTGTTCGGCACCAGAGCAAACGCAGACAGTCTGGACCGTATTGTAGCCTATGCACCCTGTACTGTGAATAAAAATGGACATACGTTTTACAGCTGCCCTCTACACTGCACAGTTTATGTCCGGCTTCGTTCGGCTTGGAGCACCCAAACGACAGTGTAGTTGACGCATCAACCATCTTCACATCGCTTTACTGGTGTCCCAGGAAATAAGCTGGATAAAGCCCCACGCGACGAGTTCCTGTGACGGCACATTTTGATGGGCTGTGTTCTTATTCCTCCTTTGTTTTACAATCGGCACTTGATGTGCACCAGCACAGAAATTACTCACGGTCAGATTTAGTACCAAAAGTATAAATTCCATATCCCTGGGTCTTCCTTGTTTTGATCGAAACTTGGTCGGCTGTGACAAATTCACTACCATCGACTTCTCATAGAGATTTCCGTGTTGGTCGGAAGTTTTAAAATAACACAACCCTTGGCACTGAAGGTCAAACCCCGCCAACTGTGGTTGTAAGTAGGGGGCCCGCAGTAGAAGGGACTGATCGACTTGAACGTAAGATGTTTATCATATCTTGTTACTGGAAGTTCGAAGTAAACGAGGAATCGAAGATGAATGAACGATCGACTTTTACAATACTAAACGCAATGCGCAAACTTAAGTAATTCGTCGTCGCATTCCTGTCAAAAATCTTAGCATTTAAAAAGCGAAAAACATAATGTGTCAAGGGATAAGTTTTGTCTCGAGCAAAAAAATGGGTTAGTGTTAGTCTCACTAAATGTCCACGATGACGCTGTTTTTGGTCCTGTCCAGCGTAAACTGTTTCCACTGTGTTATGCACACTTCGTCCTTTGTCTAGTCGATCTGGCCTCGTCTTTGTTTACCATGTTTTGTTACTACTGAGGCACTGTGTAGGCACCTGTGATAGTGACGGTCTGTGTCGTTGTCTCTCAGCGTCTGTCCATCGTGTCACTCCGTGTCATTCAAACACGTTCAGTTTTCAGCTTAGTTTGTTTGCTTCAGGTTGCATAGGATTCACCGAAACTGCATGTCTCTTCACAAGCATGCAACATCCTAACAGCATCAAGGACAGGTGGCGTTTTTTTTAATGACCCATCGCACTGATGTTTGGTTTCACCATCAGATCGCAACTTCTTTTGCTTCAGCCACCGCACACCCATCGGAAAGAGGGGCAAGTGTAGGGACAAAATAGCTCCCGCTCAGAATTTGACCCAATGGGATCCCGCGACCTGCTGCAGAGCGGGAGGCAGTGGTTGGTCCCACAGGGCAAACGGCAAGCGTTGCGAAGCCGCCTGTGCTGAGAATGAGCCTCCGCGGCCCACTCCACAGGAAACTGAGCATGGACCCGTCCCGATGGAGTCCTTCGAGATGATCCTGGATGTAGGACAAGCTTCGAACGGTTCAACAAACTATGGCAAGTCTCATCATTTTAGACACTGTTTTCTTTGTAACCACACTGTATCAAACAGACACATGACGATATTGCTTAGGGAGTAGAGGGCGCCCGTGTTCTCCTGGGCCATAAAAAGGTGGCGCCCTTGCGTCTATCAAGACTTCACGCAAAGAACGGCCTGATCGCCAAAGGCCTTTACATTTCTGGTTTTTCAATGGTTTGTCCTTTTAAGTTCAAAGATAGGAAAAGGTTCCCCACAACGGCTCTGTTTCTGCCTCGGAACATCGTAACGATTCACATAACACCGAAAAACCAAGCTCGGAACCATTCGATACTTAAAACTTTGCGAGAGGTGGCGTGGTTTTCAAAGTTATATAGATATGGTCTGAAAATAGTAAGATGGTATTGTGTGGCTGTTTTGATGTGACAGATAATGTAACGTGGAGTGAGTGGGGCACGTGGTCCAACTGCTCGGCCCAATGTGGGATCGGGAATAAGACAAGGACAAGGACATGTCTACGAGAGCTCGCTCGTAACAGCACGAGTGAGGACGAGGCTGTTCCATGTGTGAAAGAGCTCGCTTGTAACTACACGAGTGAGGCAGAGGCTGTCCCGTGTGTGAAAGAGCTCGCTTGTAACGACACGAGTGAGGAAGAGACTGTCCCATGTGACACCAATGTTACTTGTATAGGTACTGCAGAATGTCCTTTGGGAGAAATAAAACATGCGCTATAGTCTCAAAACAAGACGTTCGTGGATTGCAGTAACAATGTGTATAACACTGAGGATGCCCTCAAAGGATTTAATACCATCACCAAGAAGGATGGAGCTGTCACAATGTTATATATAATAGAGCCTTTGGCAAATACTCAGCTCATGTTATAGCGTGGAAATATATCATGAACAATTCGCACTCAAATTTCGTCGTCTCATAAATTTCCCGCTAGTTCTAAGGATTTACATAACTGGATGTCGCGATGCATTTAGTGCGTTTGTGTTGATGCGACTTTTGGGGGAAATTACAATTTGAAAAAAATCTCATTCCAGCCGTCCAAGCCTCTAAGCTAAGAAATACAAAAACTATCGAATAAAGTGGTTTTCATTATTCAGGTTACAATGTTCCTCATAAACCGTGTCGCAGATACGAACCTTTCTAGAACTGGACGATGCTGACTTCAAAATGAACCAAGTGTCTCGTTCTTTCTGTTCCTCAGCTGTCTTTTCCCCGGTCCACGGAAGGTGGACCGGCTGGAGTGAATGGTCTGAATGCAACCAGACAGACCCATGTATGCCCAACTCCTTCCAGATGAGCAACCGTTCTTGTACCGCTCCTTCGCCGGCAAACGGTGGGCGGTTTTGCCGCGGTCCCTCCACGAGAACTCGCCCCTGCAGCCGGAGGAACTGTGGACCGCCCCGCGGCAGCTCAGGTGCGAAGGTGTCTTAGTCTGGTTCCCGCACCAAATGAAACCGACTATTTTGAGAAATCGTTAGGTCTCGTACACAGTAGCCGCCACTGTCACATGACTAAAATTTCCAAACATTTCCAAAACTGGCCTACACTTATCGAAAATATTTCGTTAATGGGAACCATCAATAATTTTCGCAAATACAACATGTGTAAATCTTTGCTTATTTCCTCACATGCATCTTCCTGAAACAGTTCCATGAATATTTTTCTTGGATTAAAGGAAATTTTGTTAATTTCAAGTTTTGCACAACTTCAGTTCGTGGACTGTTTGAAAAATAACGGACGTGTGCGTGGTGCATGCGTCGTCGACATGACACCATGCTTCACTTTAGGAGAAGTTGCACAGCTTCCTGTAGTACATACAAGGCAGGCAACCAGTCTATATTTAATGGCCCAATTTCATGGCGCTGCTTACCGCAGAATTCCGCGCTTACGATCTCCATTCTGAGCTAACCGCGCAAGCAGAAAAATTCTGCGCTCAACCACTAAGCACAGAATCTTTAGTTACGGGATGTGTGCATGCGCAATTCCTCGCTAAACCGTGAAATACGTTCGGCGTAAGCGCAGAATTTTCTGCTGCGGGAAGCGCCGATTTTTTTCGCTTGCGGTAAGCAGCGCCGTGAAATCGGGCCCTGGTTATTGCCTGAGCTGTATATAGACATGGAGCTGTTCGCTTATTGTCCTCGTGTCCACGCGTAATCCATCATTTTGGTTCCAACAATTTTTGAGACGCTCATGTCGTAAGTCTGTCTATAGACATCTGCGGTTATTGCCAGAGCCGTGTATAAAGAGAGTTGCCACATAAATGTTACTGTTGCTAGAAATAAACTGGCATGTGTACATTGTATGCTGTGGTGCACACGGGCCAGTACATCCATACAGTAGTTGCACGCTCTACTCCACCAACAGCCATTTTGTTTCCACCTGGTTATTGGTGGTGCCGGTTCAATTGTGTATAATGCAATGGAAGAACCAGTGAAGCGGCAGTCCATGAGTTAAAAGAGCACGTACACTTCGCATAAAACAAAATGTCTAAGTGCACATTGGATATACTGCACGATAAAACGAGAATCCGCTCAACAGGACGGATTTTGTTCCCCAAATTTTGTTTCCTCTTTGAATGGTTTCCTCTTTTCTTGGTGGTCTAAAGCATATTAAGCTTTACCTCACGAGTACCATTACATTCCCATAACATAAATTCATAGACACACAATATTTCTGCCATTGAAAACCCTTAAATGCTAACGTTTTGTGCGTGTGTGTGTGTGTGTTTCAGACCTTTTCACGTCTCTTCGTCAGTTGGGCTGCCTGACTGTCTGTGTCTCTTTCTGTTCGTCTGCTGTTGTGTGATACTCATTTTCTATCAAATATCGTTCAGGTGTTCATGTACGCCCTGTAAAATAGCTGAAAAAGGAGAATTTCAAAGGTTTATCAAACTTCAAACGACCAACTACATAATCAGAGGTACTTATACTGAATGTTTCAAGTCAGATGAGATTTGAAGCTTTTCATGGTGGAGGTAGCAATACTCTCTTTTGAGTACTTGGGGTTTTATACTAAAAAAGGGAGATATATCCATGGTGCTACCGCAAACCTATCTAGTTTACATGTTTCAAGTCAATGACAAGCCAGAACACAAGTGGCATAGGTCTACGCAGCAGTGACCATGTGGTATGGCATCATGCAACATTGGAAGTTCGATCAAGGACCATAGTTCGACTAACTGTGATCGAACGCACGCTAGGCGACAATAGTTGAACTGGTTTGGTCAACTATTCGCGACCAGCCCATCGAGGTTGGTCGCATCGTTGGTTGCCTTCTGGAAACATGTCGTCTGTTGGAGGAACTGGACAAACTTCAGAAACGGCACTATCCTTTTTCTGGGGGGGGAGAAGGCGAAGATTCGTTTATCGATAAAAACAATAAAAGATTATCGTCGTTAAGAAAAAAGTCACCACTTTACCCCTCGTCGACCCCAAACCTGGACACGCCGCTGGGACATGCACATGTGTATATGTCATGTTGCCCTTTGTTTAAAAAAAGTATTTTTATTCATTTTTTCTCTGTTTATTATTTCCTTAGGTCAATGGTCCAGCTGGGGCGAATGGAGCCTTTGTTCTGCCACCAAGTGCGGAGATGCTGGCTATAAGTATCGGGAAAGACAATGTGTGGGAGTTGCCACTTGTGTCGGCTCATTTGTCGACCTGGAGCTGTGCCAGGCGCCGTGCTAAGAGTGCCCGACGCCGGCGGGGACGAAGCAAGGATCGACAAGGTCGGTGCCTCGCTGGGAATGTTGTCGCTTCACCTGCAGCCTGATGAGCGGGAGCATCTAACGGGCTTATCGGGTGGGATTCCTCCACCGTAGCTGCTTGATTTCATAAGCATTTTGGGCTATCAAATCAATCGATCGACCAGTGTCTCTGTGGGTCCTTGTGTAATGACACATATTACAGTAAGTTGTTGAATTGACCAGTCGCTTCATACATCCATCAGGTGTGACCAACAGCCGTCAATGTGTGCAGCTGCAAATTTTGGACCCCTTTTGAGAAAAATGTATGCGAAACACGACGGAAACTTCGAATTTGTTAAGACCTTGCTCTTTGTAATTATTTCTTTGTGGTTAAGCGGGCAAACCAACTTGTGTCAGGCTATACCGTTTTGTCGTACTAGCTCACAGATTAGAATTCTAACTCAAGGATTTATGGAAAATTCCCCGAACCTCTTGAAGTTATACTTAGATTTAATTATATACATTCTGGGATTATCATAAAGAGGCTTCAAGTGCAAACACTTCTTCCCCTTTTCTGACTTATTTTAACTTAAATAGTGGGACTCTCAACGTTGAAGATAATGGACTGTTCTGATAGTTTAAAGTTGTTTTTTTAACTCAAGAAAAAGAATATTGTATCGAAACCTGGAGAATGTTGTCCGCAATGTAGTTTATAAATAGGGTTTAAATGACTTCTAGAAGAAAATATCCAGTTCGGGCTTTATACTACTTTTGAATTAGGTTTTGAATATTTATATCGGTTACAAAATCGAAAACTCGCTCAAGAAAAGATTTGACTTTAGTGATGAACTTTTCAGCAGCTGCAAGGCTTCCTCTGTATATCCCACGATTGACCACTTATTATTTATGTAAACATATTTGTTTCTTTACTCGTATCTTTCGTTAATAATTTATCCAATGTTGTTTTGTATTTAGATGCTCTTTTGTCTTGTGCCACTGGCTAACAGTGTATATGTATTTGATGATCGTTGATTGTATTCCGAAATAAGAGTCATTTGGGGATTTCCTTAAACTATATGTATATAATTAAAATATATCTGATGTACATTGTACATGTAAGTTAACATGTTCTGTTCTTGCAGACATTACCTGTGAAACACGTTCATTCTGAACAGACTATTCTATTTTAAAAGATTCCTTACCTAACAAAGTTTCGCCGTCCCTGGTTTAATCGAGAGCCCGTCACGTGGCTAGTCTTAAACGAATGCCATAAAGCACCGGCTGGTTAGTCGCGTCCCGCGTCACCTCACGCATGCGCGCGCCACGCACGCGCCAATCTCCATTTAAAGTGAATGAAATACGAAAACTCGCAGAAGGCACATGACGGAAAAGGTGTTTTAGAAAATGAAGTAAACTTGTCCAACAAAATCGTTGGAAATTCGTCGTTTTGAAACTTGTTTTCACTCTCTGACTCAACAGGAATAAAAATGTACTTGGAGGGTCTTAAAGGTAACATCTATTATTTGTCATTTGTGTATTGTGTTCCTTTGAGGCATCAAAATGATTGCGGCTCTAAAAAGGCTGCCCATCAACATAATTTAGCCTGATGAAGTTTCAGCGCAGGGAATACTCTAAAGACAAATCTGACGACCAAAATTACCAGCCATTACCAGTACCAGGGGGGCCATCCTATTCGCACGCACATGTGTTCGGTTCCCAAAGATTGTGTGTGCATTTAGTTTGTGTATTCGCGCATGTGCAATAATGACATAATGGTCATCGAGGGGAGGGGGTTGACACCCATTAATTCAGTGAATGCATGCAAAAGTGGATACCAGTAGTTTGAGAACGTTTAATCTCCTGTGTACATAGGGCATATAAATCTGTAGTTTTTCATGATTTTTTCAGCCTCTCTCTCATAATAGATAAGGAATTAAATAAAAATAAACCTGAAAGAAAAAGAAGAGACCGCTCATATGCAAAGCAACTGGATAATATGACAGATACATGTAACATGTCCGTTAATTATAACATCTAAGGTTGAAAACTTTAGTTGTCTTCTGTTGCGAGACCAGCGACAAGCCGCCACTTATAAGACATAAGTTATGGACAGAAATTTCTACAAAACGTAGACAATCCCGAAAAGTATGTAATAATTGAAATATTCTGGAAAATACCGAATTCTTCTTCTGCTAGATACTGTACAATCGCCAAAATTCTGGCTGTCCCGTATAGAATTGCATTTTAAGACTCTGTTATTAGGGGTGCTTCTTGAAATTAAGTAAACAGTGGGGTCCTGGAAAAAAATCTTGACGATAAGAAACGAATGGGCATAAAAGAATCTCTTCCGATTTCCTTCATGTACCAAAGGGCTAACATGTCAACTATACGTTCCCAAATGGGGACACACGGAGTATTACAATTTAATCGTGCCAATGCTCCCTGTAGCATCTTTCAGGGGTGTGAATCCGTGGGGGGGGGGCATCCCGCTACCTTTTGAGCAGAGCGTTGGGCTATTGGGCAATGCCCCCACTTTTTCGTGGTGAAAGAAAGAAAAAAAAAATTTCAGTACTGAAAAAGGGGGAACATTTCAACAGCTCTGCATATGTTGTTTTGCAGTAAAATTACGGGTTGTACGTTTATATATGACGGCAACCCCCCTCTTCCGTATTTGGGATTTCCAAGGCAGGAGTATTGTTTTTTATTTACGTCATTTCTGATCCCACCAGTCTTAAGAACAGATTTACGCCACTGGTATCTTCCCTTAAAACCTTCTAGTGAAACTTTGCGATATTCTCATTGCATCATGGATTTAAACGCCAAACACGCCTTGCATTATCCATGGCTGTTTTTCATTTAGAACATTTCTTAAGCACCAGCTCATCGAGCTACGGATGGATGTATGGTTAATTCCAATCAAATCTCGAAATAAAGATGTTTATAAGACCATCTTTTTCTATCTAGTAAAAGAATGATTTGATCTCGATTGTAAGGTAAACACTAGTTAAATACCTCGTTATTACCGTTCTTCCATGGGATTTAGCATAAAATTCAATGCCTTTTCGTCATCTACTCCCGTGATGCGATACATATGTTAGAAAGGTTCATAATAGACACCTGACCTGAAAATACTTTTCCTTATGTTAGAAAAGTAGGCTTATAGTTATTGGTTACTGGCCTTGGAGCCAACAGGGCCCTGTAGGGTCGCATCTGCCTAATCAATTAATTAAATATTCGTTTAAAAATGGCCTGTTAAAATTATACTTGTTCTAGTGTGACACTCGGTATGTTCTGCATTACTCAAAGCCATGGTGCTAGTACATAACCGATTCTGTACCGATCGAAAATGTTACAAGGGGCACCACCTACTCGAATCCAGAATAATTAAGGCCCTCTCCAAATTGGGCACATTGTGATTGCGGTTTCCCCTTTTACTCGCCACTTCGAGAAGCCGTGGCCACACAGACAGGAACGCGGCTTTCAAAAAACAAGTCCGACCGAACCGGGTCATCGGATTTCATGGCGAGAGAGGGATGCCTGCTGAAGTCACGGGCAGCCTGTCGTATTTATTGTGCAAAGTCTGAGTTGTACACTCACTCCGGGGCAATCATTTCCAGGACATTGCCGTTGACGGATTTGGTAAGAGGGCGAACAATTTTGATTTGCTTGGCATTCCCCCCATGCCCCCCACTGATTCCAATGGCTTTGTGGAGCTGGAGGCAAAAGAAAGAGTGAAAATTTAATATTTTGTATGATTTTGCTTCATACTTTTGGTTAATACAGGTGATTCACAATACATTGCACCACCAAGAGATTGTCGCGGAGAGGCCGTTTTTTAAGTTTCCAGTCGACGACGAACTGGCACTGATTTCCATTCAGTGAGCTAATTAGACAGTTTCAGGAAATGTTTGATTTGGCAGTCCGTGCCTCGCAAAACCCCGTCATTTTATGTTAATGAACACCAATACCCTAAACACTTCCAAAGCTTAACCTACTGGACAAAAAAAACAACAGTGGAACAATTCCAAACGCAAAGCGCACTCGGCGCCACGAACTTTGTCGACAGTTTTCCCATAATGCACTACGAAAAAGTCCTCTCTATGGCAGCCTCTTGGTGGCGCACGGTATTGTGAATCGCCCTTATTCACTACGAGCGTTTTCGAAACGAGTGGATTCGGCGGAGACTTCAGTTTCGCTGGTTCGACTCAGAGCTTGAACATGTGGTTTCGAACGCTACTTCAGAATAATGGCTAGAACCAGCAAACCCAAGGTCTAAGCCGAATCCACATGTTTCGAAAACGCTTATTATTATTTTTCTTATTTTATTTAGCCAAAACACAAATAAAAATTACAAGCAGTGACAGCAATGACACAGGACGAACGAAATGGCCACATTGGCAAGGGTCAGCAGAAGCGAAGCTAGCACTGTGGTCCCAAGACCTGCTGACCCATGTGCTGTCGAACCTCGTTAAAAAGGTTCTTCACACTTTGCAGATTATTTTGTTGTAACAGGGACCTTGTATCATTAGGAATGAAAACAATGAAGAACAAAGGATAAGGACCTAAAATATTTCTTTGTTACATGCAGAATGTTGTATGAACAGTGTTCTTAGTAACGAGGTTCGACTTTATATCTACTAAAGTTTAATTGGAAAAAGGTCAATTGTAATAATGTCCGCTATTTGCCTTGCGTATTACTATTTTTCTCTGACCAAGGTAGATTTAACATTCTGGCATTTTACTGATAGCTAGTGAAATCTTTTGATAACTGGAACTTTTTCATGAAATGTTCTCGATAAGAAGTTATCAGCTTGCGCATAATTATATATATTCGAAAGCTGTTGCTTGTCAATTCAGATTTATAAACAATATTCAAGTGAGGAGAAGGAGCCTCGTGTCAGTCTGGTTTTCGACCTACCTGGACAAATAGGTGAGGGGCATGGACGGATTTCATCTCCGTCTCCAACACAGTCCAGTCCCCCGTGCATAGGTACAGGATTGTTGCAAATGCGGCTGCGCGAGGTTCGACCTCCACCGCCACAGGTCACTGAGCATGCGGACCAGTCGCTCCATTCACTCCATCCGCCATCCACTGTTTTGAATCGAAATGGATGAAAAAGAAACACACGCCTCGTATACATTTAGCAGCGTCACCCATTGATTCATTTTCTTCGGATCCCTCGCCATACTGTATATCCCTCCCCACTGTCTTTTACATTTCGCCATCTGAGGCCGAATACGTCGGTTTGAAGTCGATATATGTTTTGGGTGTGGCTTTGTCATCTTCCCATAACCACAACAATTTCTTTTCCGCACGGGGACTGACAGCACCTCACTATAGGCCTTGAGCAGGACACATAGGGCGCAGTTTTCCTGGCAATGGAGGCCCCTTTGGTAGTAACTGCGCATAGCTGGTTCACGAACGAGTATGAAGCGCGAACGTTGCAGTCGCATCGCTACCAACAAAACGAAAACCCCCCATGATCAACATTATTCTTTTCAACCGATGGGGGGGGGGCGCTTCAGCTCAGGGCGGATATTGAGCAAAGATGGTGAACCAAATAGCTAAGGCACAGTTGCACGCAAACGGTAGTTGGACCACCACAGCTCAGTTGCTTCATATACCAACACTCGCACGTCCTGTACTGTATGTCTGTCAAATTTTGTCATTGGTTGCATTTTTCTTTGCGTTTATAGTCTCTACAATATACCGGGTAGCCAAACGGCTCATTCTGCACTTATTTACGAAAAAGGACAATCAATAGACCGGCGACAACTGTGCCCCTAAGAACTGGTTCTGAAATGGTCGATTAATCAAACCATCCATCGTTTGGTTAATTAACGTTGGGCGAACCCGTCAACTGCAGTCGTCGCTCGAGTTTGCCACACAACCCCTTACCTGACGGGCATGAGATATTGGTGTCGCACGGATAGGATTCTTCGCTGGTCCCGTTGCAAGGCGTCCCTCCGTACAGCGGTGCAGGGTTGTTGCACGTCCGATATCGCGTCATATTCCCTGTACCACATGATGCTGAACAATTCTGCCACTCGCCCCATTCACTCCAACTACCGTTCACAGCTAGCATACGAAATTGGCGGTTAAACATTCATTATGTGTACAAACACTCGGCACTGTGCTGGAAACGTCACGGTACAAGGAGTCAAAAGATGTTTACCAGTAAATTGGTGATTTCATTCCATTTTCTCTTTTTTGTTTATTGTGCTTTTTCTTTGCATCCCCCTTTTTCATTTCGATTCGGGGGGGGGGGAGTGACCCTTCACAGCAAAAGTTGTGGTTTTCAAAACAATATTTTCGGGAGTCGCCCGATGACCATACCAAAACATGTTAGTTAAACACCGCTGGTGTTTCTTCTCATGCACCTACAGATATAATAAAACACTGGACGGCGTTGAAAGTAATACAAACGGTGGTGAAATAACACCCAAAAATGTTAACACCGGTGAAAAATGTTGGCATGGTCATTTGATAACACGGATGTGTTAAATTTAACACCCTAGTTTGTACAGTGTTACCCCCTCCCCCTTGCTACATCCATGTGTAAGAGAAAAGGTGGCGAACTGTGGTAGAGCTCACCTTGACACGCGGTGTTGTTACACGGCAGTCCAGTGTCTCCGGCAGAGAGCTCACCTTGGCACGCGGTGTCGTTACACGGCAGTCCTCCTCCCTCGACTCCTGTCTCCGTTTCCGAGCCGTTTGTAGCCACAGCAATGGTATACTCAGTCTGTGTACTCAAAGGCGCTGAAATTTAAGGGGGGGGGACACTAAAATATGATATGACATGTAGGCCTATATGTATTATGCCTGACAGTTATCTGGTATAGAGGAAGCCGCTCCATGATCGTTGTATGACCAAATCTTTCCACATGGTTAGGATTTTGGTTGACTCGGTAAAGAAAAAGGATCCGCAGCTCTCAATTACACACGCAACTCTTGACCAATCAGAATTAATGATAATGCCCGCCGAGATGCGTAAATCACGCGCTATCACACGGATACGACAGAATTTAATAGATTCTGATTGGTCAAGAGTCTGTTTGCACGCAGCTCTCCGTGCGCGCGCTAAGTCCATTTCAGGAGATTCTTTTGCACAATTTGCACAAGGGACTTCTTTTGACAAAAGGGGGCACCTGCATCTTATGGGGGGGTGCACCAACTTTTAGTGGTGTGGTTTTTGTGGGCCAAGCTCATGTTAGCCTCTTTCAATATGCATTCATCCGTTTTTAGTTAGAGTGGGAGGCGGCACCTTGGGGGAACCGGGAATGGGGGGAGGGGACATTCCCCCCCCCCCCGTGGCGGCTACGCCCCTGCTCCCAACCAGCACGGTTCTGAGTGGGTGCTCCTACTCGAGGGGATGTACACACAGAGACTGTCATTTTGCCTGATAATTGTGTAACTTTTCCATTTAATTCCCTATATAAACATAAAGTTTTTAACGCGTGGTGACATTCATTATCTCAGTCAGCCCCAACTTGTCCTACTTTTTATAAAGAAGTTGGCTTTGGAAGGTTCATCCAACTTTAACGACGGGGGTCGATTGGGTATAATTAGCATCATTCGTGTCCAATATGGTGACCTAACCGTGAACTGTACACAGGGATCAACTAACGACCCGCTTCTGCAGAAAAATAAACTAAGTCCTGCTAAACAGGATACCAAACAGATCAGGATATGACCCATGTTTGTAGCTTGAAAGAAGAGACGAGGACGGTAAAGTAGTAGGGTTATACAGAGAAAGCTAGGTGTCAAGATGCTCTCTGTTGGACACACAGAAGTTCTCTGCTTGTCATTAAATGGACCCCTCACTGGTGTCAACATATGCACCGATGCATTGTTTCTTAATTAAACAAAAAAGCAAACAAATCACAAAACAAACAGTAAACAGAACTAAAGGCAACATTTGGGGAGGGATGGTGAATAGGCCTAAATATAAAACATGTATTGATGAATCTTGAAAATGAACCTAAACGTCATGGAAAATAAAACTTTTTGAATGCTAGGTTCCAACTTTAACCAGTTATAGAAGTATAGATAAGCAAAATTATTTGAGTGCCGTCGGATATGGTGATCGTTTGTTTTCTTGTAATATTGTTACAGATGCAACGGGGGAGGGTCGCCGACTAAAGGCGCCTTTCCACATGAGCCTCAACACTTGCGCTAAGAATTGCGTATCCGTCGATATCACCCTCAGTGGGATTTTGACGGCCGAATGCAACGAACATGTGTTTTGTTAATGGAGTCGATTTTTGTGTCCGTGAAAGTGAAACGCATAAACGCATCGTGTACGAAACACACCAAAAAACATACATATGGAAAGGCGCCTTTTTATTGTTACTGACGGTCGTAGCTCAGGCGCAGCTCGATCCGGAAAAGTCCGTTACCGACCGTTCTGTGTTGTCACAAGGTCAACCCGAGGGCAACTTGAGCAGCTTGAGATGCAGACAGATGATCATCTCGTCACAGACTGTCCAATTCACCACTTAGAAGGAAGCTGTGTTGCCGCTCGACAACAACATAGATGCAGCAACGGAATGGATGGCTCCGGACAGCCACTTTCCCAAGTTACACGACACGCAAGAAGCAAGCTTACCTGCCGAAACGAAGTTTCCAGGGGCTGCAGCGACTACCATGACCGTGAGAAGGGTTACGGGAAGTCTCAAGAATCGGCCTCTCATGAAGTCCATAGCTGGTCCTGTCCTGTTCCAAGCGTCCCAACCTCCAGTTACAGGGAAGGCTCCTCTCTGCTACTTCTTTTAAAAGAAACATTTGGGAATTTTGCCAGCTGTTATTATGACGAATGGGAAACGCACGTTTATTTGTTCTTCCTGTAGGACATTGTGGATAGGAAGTTCGTGGTGTCCCTGACCTCCTTTTGATGGGGGGGCGGGCTTTCACTTAGGCAGTTGATAACGAGTAGACGCCTCAGCTTAATTACCATACAAAAATACCCTAAACACAAAATAATTCCAAGTCCCTGCCTGGTCCAAGATACGTTTACCCACATTCAAAACAAACTATTTTTGTTTGTAATGACAAAAAGCGTGCCACCGATTCTTTCACCCCCCCAAAAAAATTAATAATAATTATAATAACTTGGCGTCACTCGATCGTTTTAGTTTGAGGCGTGGCTGTCATTCGATAGTGTTTGCTCATTCACGTGTTCATGTTGAGACGTCTACCATCAAACCCAATGCGTGATATTGTAAAACGGGGTCGGTACTTTCCATCAGTCGGAAACAGCGGTCGCTGCTCTAAGTCGTTAGTTTCCCACACATCCGTTTTCTTGACGGTTGGTGCGCTGTTCATTGAAATAAACATTTCTTCTTTTTAAACCGCTTCGCGGAGCTCCAAATGAGTTTACAGTAAGCGCCTACATTTCCCTTAATGTAGGAAATGGATGTACAGTGATATTTTGCTGCGGTTGATTTCAAGGATAATGTCGGTCTCTAGTCTGAAAAAAGTGTTTTTTAATTACAAAGAATCGCTAATGATAGGATTTTTATTTTCTTCCGAACAACCTTGGCACACCCCATAAACTTTACATAGTATGGCTCAGTACTGAGACGAAAGTGCCACCGAATGTTATTCACGTATTAGCTGTAATTTTATCCCCTAGCCCGCGGCTGTGCGGTCAAATCAAGTTTGTTCGAAAACCTCAAGAGCCTCAAATGGTCCTGTGCGCACGGGATTTACGTTAGTGGTTAGTGATTTGTGGTATAGTTAAGTTCAAATTAAAAAAAAATGTTATCACGAGTTTGCTAGTGTTGGTACCCATTTCCGTCCATCACAGCCGACTACAAGCTTGCAACTAGTGGGTCCGACATTGCCTGCATGGAGCGGATAATGATTTGCATACTGTCAAATCCCTGTCAACAGACTAGAGACCAGAGAGACCCGAGACAAAAAAAAGACCAACAAGCTGGTCCATTGCCGGATGATCCAATAGGCATGGTGCCTGCCTATAGAGGCTTTACGTGGTAGCCATCTTGCAGGGCAGTTCTTTTGTTCCACAGGGAAGCCTCTGAATGTGCATACCCTGTGGAACAAAAGCACTGACCTGCATGATGGTAGCCGTGCGAACCCTTCAAAGGCGTACGCAGAATTTCGGTTCCTATACGAAAATACCTCAGTGTGCCGCAAAACACAAACATTGACTTTGTGGCACTTACATCTCTTTATGAATTTTCGATTTTAGGAAAGTTTCGAAATAGTATCAGCACAGCTTATCGTCAACATGAAATACAAACTCAATCGCTCACCAATCATCTGTGTCTTCATAGTTCGGAGTAAGCCTATACGTTACACTATAATTCGGCCCAAATCTGCCTGTAAAAACCAGGCGAGACGGGATTGGAAAAGAAATGTCTGAATATTTCGCACCTGATGTCCCCAAAAAAGGTGTCGGACAGCACCAACACTGTAACCAAAAAAACGTGTTGTGAGAGGACCGTTTCGACACATTTCACTGGTGTTAATTTTGTTGGTGTTACTTCAAATTTACTATTAACATTCTTGTGCTAATTGTAACACTTGTGTGTGTATCAAGAATACACCAGTAGTGTCAACGTAACACATTTGGTGCGGTCATCTGATAACACCCAATTTTTTTTTGTAACACTAGAGTTTTTGCATTGAATCCAGTAAACGCATTGTTTGTGTATCGCAATCAAATTTACAAGGAGAGATGCATGCTTCAAACTGAGTTGAAAGCCCGATGAAACCTGTCAGCCATCATGTGACTTGTAACTGATCGTGAAGTAGCCCGTACAGCAACGGTGACACAACTTTTCATCTGATACAGTGGTCTGGTGAAAAGGTCGGGCGGCTTTAACCCATGCCGATACCTCATTTTGACGCATTGAAAACAAGACTAACGTTTTACTAGAAAAGTGCATGACGTACGAGACCATGATAAAGAACAGTATTAAAATTTTGTTCCCATATTCTCGACGCCAACCCATTGTATGACTTCATTTTCTTCCTTGGGATAACGACTAACGAATAGTCGCAGTCCGAGGGTCAGCAGGGGTCATGGTAAATCATCTACATGCACGTTTAAAACACTAGAGACTTCGGCCAAGACTAGGCCTATACGGACCGATCACAAGAAGCAAACATGTTAAAGGATGGGGGCCAAAAAAAACAAAAAACAAAACAAGAACTGAACTCTTCACACAAACTGCTCAACAAAACGAAGTTTGAATAGCCGCAAGGAAGACATGAATTTGATAACTGCACATTCTCTGGCACTCTCCCACCCGCCACCGGAATTGGCATAATGGCGCAAAACGAAAGTGCGTGTATGCACAAAAAACCCCATCCTCTCCCTCAGTGTTTGGCGGTAGGCCTACTTCACCGGTGTTACATCCGGGAACAAGAATCAACAAAACCCGGGTGTGCGCAGCAAACAGTATCCGTGTTTAAGCTTTCAGCTTTGTTCGTTTGATTCCAGTTAGGTGATAAGCTCCAATTAAGACAGATTCCAGTATGATTCGCTTTGTGGCCGTAGTCTTCTTTGGTCTAGTGTGCGTCAAGCTGGCGCATACAGGTAAGTCAAAAACTGTTTCCATCTCTCCCCCCCCCTTTTTCATAAAATGGCTGCCCAGAATGCCGAGGAACGTTTTGTATATCACGCGCGAGAAGATTGTCACACACTCCAGGTCGTAACTCACAACAAAATGGCCAAATTTGACTGATTTCTGTTAAACTCAGTCAAGTCGCACATGATGAAATCGAAAGGACCGAATCCGTGAATCTAAACTCGCTCGCGTGACAGTTTCCGTTGTTAACCTTTTCCAGAGGAACATGAAAACCACTAATGTTTCAGGATTCCAAGCAACTTGCCAACGTGTAGGCCAGGCATACTTTATCTATCACCCGCGTAGCCTACAGTCTACACATTACAACCGTGGAGGAATGGTACAACGATAAACCGCAACCTTGTTATGACCTCACTAGCCGAGAGCACCATCCTGCCATGGTTTCACCATATCTTTCCTAAAAGCAAAGCAAAAGTATGTCAGTTTTATTTTACTCTAACTCCGATGACAGCAACATGAGCGATTTGACGTAAATGTAGGTCTATATGCGGATATGCAGTTCTGCTTGGGCATTTGTACCAGTCACTAGAGTTGACTTACCTAAGTGGGGGCGTGACTAATTAATACAGCAATCACCTTAGATAAAATTCAATGGAAGTCACATCCAAGTGGAGTGTGTATGTCTTCTATTTGACATGCCGGGAAACATTCGCAGGAGCAGGCTTTCAGACTGAACTGCATGAACGTGATGGCTGTTTCCCTTGTTGCCGTTGCTATCTCCCCAGTCCAAGTACATGTAGTTTGAACAAGGCCTTCACCTTGTGAATTCTTTTCCAACATCCAGACCTCCGGTAAGCCTGTACGTGGCGTAAGTGGGGTGCATTTTGCAGAGTCACTTGGGGCATACTTAGGGTGATCATTTTCTAGAGGGGGGCACTGTATGGGTTGCTTCACGGTTGTGGAACACTGACCAAGGCATGCAAGGCGGAATACAACCAGATTTTGCACCTTCTCTTATATCTGTCGGGGGGGGCACACAGACCCGGGGGCGTGCCCCATGTCCCCTTTACTTAAGCCATTGCTGAGAGTGCGGTTTCTGTAATGTCATAACACGATCACGACGGCTGCGAAAACGGGAGGGTATCCCTTAATCTTAAAGGAACAGAGAGGAAAAACCAAACAAACAAATAAACAGAAAAATCCGGAGCACTGTATGTTTTATTCCCAATTGCGTCTAACGAAGCCTCCCCCAGGCCACCTTTTTTGCTCATGACTGTGTATATTTGAAAAAGCATATTTGCCAAGAACATGAGAATACATTGAAGTGCACCGAGGTGCATTGCAAGAAAAGAAAATCGAAACTGCTCCCTTTTACAGACCCTTTGATTTGATTTTTAAGTCACGTTTGCAACTCGTGTTAAATCAACAGACTTTTCACTGTTTTGCCTCGATAAGCAAATGGAGTACCTAGGCTAACATATAAGGGAAGTGTCCTGTTGTCTCAGTGGATATGTGGCGGAAGTCAACATCCGTTCCCACGCTAGAGTATAGAGATTTCTCTATAGCGGATGTCATTAAGGGGCGTTACCACGGAAGGGGGGGCTTGGGTGGTGATGTAACAGGAACATCAACTGCTGTCACGTGGACTCACCCTCCTCCCCCAATAAAAAAAGACTTGAGACACCCCCTTAAGATACTTTTTGACAAAATCTTCGGTCATTTCAAACAGTATGGAATATGATCGGAATTTGACCGGCGGCAGTCCAACCATTATTTTTGTTTGAATGTCAGGATATCTCTACATTCACGGGCCTTGCCCTCACACCATTCTCCGCCAAATTCTACTTTCCTGTAGTGAGTTTTAAGTCCTCCAGACAGTACCCCGACCTCGTGAACGGCATCGTACACATCTGCATCTGGCACTTAGTCTGTGTATTCATACAGGACTCAACCAATCTAGAACTCGACCAATCTTGTATTTTAAGAGAACGAAACAAAACACCCACACTCACATACCCACACACAATCATTGTGGATCCCCAAAGCGTACTACATGTAGGCCTACCCGTGTTTATTTAAGTCTCAACAACAACAAAACCGAAAGTTCAAAGAAAGCACGTTTTTATTACCTGATACCCAAAACGTAATTTTCACCGTTTTTCAATCTACTCCTCTTCTGAGAGAGAATAAGCAAAATGTCATACGGGAGGTTCTGACAAAACAAATGCCTGTCAACCTTTAATCCTCTCTCACGCTTCAGCGCAGGACGGGTATTGTTTCCGTTTCCGCAATCCGGCCGGCTCTTGGGGTAGATGCCAGCAACTGATCGAGAGGGCGCCGGACGGGACCCCCGTGAACACCCAGGAGGAGTGCTGCCTCCTGGGCGCCGACGGCTGGTCTGAAAAGAGCAGTGGCAAGAGGTGTGGCGCTGCCTGCCCAGAGCCGGGAGAAGATCAGCCAGATCCAGGGGCCGGGGCGGCGGAGAACAGACCTCCGCAGGCTTTCCAGGAAGAAGCCAAGGATCAGAATGTTGGTATGTAATCGTTTCTTTTGGCGCGGAAAACCAATAGAGGCACAGTCCAAACTCAGATTCTGAATCATTTTAAAAGAAAAACAGAACAGCACAAGACGGGACAACAAACACCCCCAAAAGATCCATAACATTTTTATCGTGCTGACTGCTTGAAAGAAAATGGACGGGAAAGGACATGGACTGAATAATAAAACTCTCGGTCTCATCATGTGATCACTTCCAGTCAAAGTTGCCTCTCTGAGAATGATGTGGAGAAATATTTTCCTCTTCAGAGTCGAGTCAAAACCTGTTTAAGGCATCACATCGCTGTTGCAATTTTGGCGTGGGGGGAAGTTTCATAATGTAAGTAAGATACGACATGCCTTTAGTTTACACATTTTAGAAGTTGTGTACAATTCGATGTCCTCTACGTCAGCTCCTAATTGGTTAAGCTCGAGGAGTGCCTCTCTAATACGTGATCATACCATTCTAATAAAAAAGTTCCTCTGTTGTCAGTGAAATCGGTGACGCTTTCGTCATTTGTTTAATTCAGTCGAAGGAGTGTGGGGTACATGGAGTGACTGGCAACCATGTTCTGTCACGTGCGGTTCGGGATTCTCCGAGAGAAGACGAGACTGTAGACGCCCACGCGATCATCCCGATGATAACTTCCAGTGTTCAGGGGACAGGGTTGAGCACAGGGATTGCAATGCTGGGGTCAAGTGCCCTGGTAAATATAACGAGCAGTGAGCCAGTTTGGTATTTTAAAACAAAGCAATGTCATTCGTTAACAAAGCACGCGCGTGAGTCCGGGTAGGGCCTCATTGATTGGGCAGACAGCGCACGCAATCTGAATGCCCTCAGACGCGCTTCACTGAGGGCATGCGCTGTTGAAATACCGAACTTGCTCATTTACCATGCAGAGCGCCATGCTTGCCGTAAAGAGGCCACTTTCAACTTTCCAGTTAACTTATTTCTATTTTTCTGTAGCTATCTGTCAATCCCTCTTTGTTCGTCTGGTGGATAAAACAGATGCAAATATACTGGAAATCTGTGCAAAAAATAAGCCAGGTTGTTAATAAAGGAGGTTCCGACGTGTGCGTCAATAAAAACCAAACAACAAGCAACCAAACAAACAGAGAAACAAAAACAATTTGAGTCCTTGCCGTGTGCAAACGTTTAAAAACGCCCACAGTTTGGAAGAAGCAAAATTTGTTTCCAAGTAGACGGCTTTTCGGTATAGGAGTTTCTGTAACAAAGTTCCAATGAATAACTAGCCTGTTTGCAAAACTATAAAGTACAATGAAATCGTCACACGTCCGTTTCAAGACCTTCTAACAGGTGGATAATTGCTGTTCATTCGTCGTATTCGTGGCCCTTCTATAAGCTAAGTGCAAATGACAAGGTACAACTTTTTTCCGTGCGGGACCGAATTTTTTGCTGTGTTTGCTATAAGAAAGTTTGGTGTTATGTTCTTCGTCCATTCTCGTTCTACAGTACACGGCCAGTGGAGCGAGTGGTCTCCGTGGAGCGAGTGTAGCGCCACATGTGGTGACACACTGTCCAGGTTTCGGGGGTGCAACTCCCCCGCCCCACGCTTTGGCGGAAATCAGTGCGTGGGGGAGGGGAGGGAAGTCCGGTGGTGCAACGATAGAAGGAACTGCCCGAGTGAGTTTTGTAAACAACAGGGTTCCTTTGGGAAGGTTAGAAGTACTGTTTCACCTCGAGGAGCTTTTAAGAAAAAAAAATTGATAAAAATCCAGCATAAACAACAAAATGCGGGGAAAAAACAAAATGGCGTTAGGATGTAACGTGCTTTCCAAACAGAGGAAAACAACAAGGCGACGATCACAATGCGTTCTGTCTTGTATAAAGTAACAATATATATTATCCTCTAAGATTTAAGGGTTTATTCGCGTAACGGTTTCAAAGTCACACAATGGTTGGACATAGTTTTTGTGTCACTAAACAGTTATCATAAAATGTGCCATTGTATTGATCTCTTTTACCCGTAGTTCACGGAGGCTGGCGGCAGTGGAGTGCCTGGTCGCCTTGCTCCGTGTCATGCGGCCGAGATGGCCTGCGTCGGCGCTTGCGTATGTGCACCAACCCGGCTCCACGCTACGGCGGGAGGGACTGCGTTGGAGACCAGACGAGCACCCGGCCTTGCCTTGCGAGAAAAAGAAACTGCCCCAGTGAGAAATGGCCAGAGAATTCCACTTTATCTCATTCTTTAATTTTCTGTATACAGGAAAAACAACCATTCGCGGTTTACTGCATTAATGACAAGAGCCGTCAACCTCTTTACCAAATAAACACCGTTAACAACGATGCGTTGTTTCAAAAGCGATTTCCGATTTGGAAACCCGTGCAGTGAGCATCGTAATCGAACAGTTTTCGGTAGATACTATGTGATTTCTGTATGTATTTGATAGAGATGGCGTACTAGAGTTTGAAATATAAAGAAAGATGACAACCCTTCAACATTTTCCAGGACCACAGTTGAAAACGAATGTTTTCGTTAGGCCTTGCTCACACATTCTGTGCGGAAGGACAGGCCTGAAGAGAAAAACACACGGAACTTCCTAAAACCACCATTGCTTTTTTTCATCCAGAAAGAAACTGGACATGAACTGTCACTTTTGCTGTTGCAGTCGATGGCGGCCTGAGTGAGTGGGGTACGTGGATATGTCCTCAAGAATGCGCCAACAACGGCAGAGGGTCTGCAGTGCGCAGGCGCTCCTGCAACAACCCCACGCCGAAGTACGGAGGGAAACAGTGCAAGGAAAAACATATTGAGACTGTAGCTTGTTCTATGGCGATCTGCCCAGGTAAAGCGAAATACTTTCAGTTTCTGAGAAAATATAATTGCCCGTCCCCCTTTGAAAAAAACTGATACTAAAGCATCACTATTTGTCAAATTTTCCCTTGGTTATGTAAACGCTGAAAGTTTCTGTAAAGCTTTCTTAATTTCCGGGGGGGGGCTGTGATTAGGTCAGAGCAATCCACGATAAGACAAAGTTCACGCTGCGAAATTGTCACAAAAGGCGTGATTTTCTGGGTTTTTTTTTCTCCTACTTACTTTTCAGTGGACGGTATGTGGGGATCGTGGTCGAGATGGGGCGGCTGCTCGTCCACCTGCGGAGAGAGTGCCTTCAAAAGCAGGCGACGAGATTGCGATAACCCGCCTCCCGAAAATGGCGGGCTGAAATGCGAAGGCAAAGGCCACGAAATTAAACTGTGCAACTTGGACCCTTGTCCGGGAGATGCGTCCGGTAAGCTACTCTGAGGTTTCGCTTGTTTTGCAACTCCGGATATACCCAGCAAGAAATGAGACCGAGGGGTACCCCCCAACATGTCCAATCCCTATACACATTCCAGACTTAACACATCCCCCTAAGATGTCTGAAAGGAATTCCCCAGATTCCTGCGAGACAATGACCAACACAAAGCAGGGGGGAAGGGGTTCTCTCCGTCTCATACCTTGCTGCATATGACTCCGGAACAAAGGCGCCGTGGGTGCGTGCTGTTGGCTAATTTCACCTGAAACCTGTGCACTGAACGTGTGACGTATACGTGTACTTCCTATGGAACGCAATCAAGCACAGCACTGAATGTGATAATTAGTATTTTGCTCTTTGTGAAAGAGGTTTCAGAACATATTGTCTTCAAATATCTGGTCTATCACAAGGGATTAGCAAATTGAGTAAGGCGCGAGAACTGTGAGTGGAGGCTTCATTTTAACTGCCTTGGTATTGAACCACAAGTAACATGAAAATCCAATTCATTATGGTTTTAAAGTGTCTCTAGCCTCGTCCGAAATGATTTGTGAACTTTCCCGTCACTCTAGGGAGATCAAACCAAACCAAAAAAGAGTACGTCCAGAAAAGTCTGATTTTATTCATTTTTTTTAATGATAGGTTTATATGGAAGGCCTGCCCTCGGCAATATCGGATCCAGACGGGGGGGGGGCAAAACAAGTAAACAATATCCCCCCGATGCTCTTTTGCATTAACTGATCGAACTAGTCACAATGAAGCAACTGCTCAGAAACAATTTCCTGACCATAAAGGCTCTGTCCATACAGACAACCCCCATTTAAGCACTTAATATCTTCACTCTGATTGATTAAAAAAATCCCCATCTTGTTTATTTTTTTGGGGGGGGCATGACCCCTGTTGACCCCACCCCTTCCACAGATCTGCCCTTGGCCCTCGGAAGATACTGTTGCGTTGGGTTTGAGGATTAAAAGTCTTGTAGTTGTATTTCAATCCCTTGCCAGTGGCTTGCTAAAGTATGGCCGACCAATCTGACATCAACCGAGGGGAATATTTCTAGGAACTTCGGCCGCCATGCCCAGCAGGAGTCGAGCGCGTTTGGTTAATTTCAAATTAGTCGTCCCCTCATTGCCTCTGCACGTTTTAAAATTTAGAATGGTGGTATATGTGGTTGAAATCTTGCCGGTAACTTATTTTGGAAATTTCTCTTGACAGTGTCAATCGAATATTCTGAAGGGGTAAGTACCGTAAACAGATGGCGACAGTAGCACCCATAACAAAGCACATTAACTGCCCAGACTATAACAATACGGCCGTTTCATAATAGTGCGCCACTAAGAGTTTGCAACGCGTTGGCCAATCACAATGCGCGGAATTTGTCGACCCATAGCGCGTTTGGAAAGGGTTGACAAATTTCGCGCGTTCTGATTGGCCAACGCGTTGCAAACTCTTGGTGGCGCACTATTGTGAAACGGCCGTATTCTTATATCAACACCACAGACATTACAGGGTTCACGCATTGATTTTTAAGTGCACTTTCAGAGCATCTTTAAATTACTTTAAACCACTTGAAAGCTGTAATGAGGTTAAGGGTACTGAAAAGTGTGTGTCTTTTAATAATTGAATTTATCCACGCTTTTCAGGACACTCCTGGGCGCTGTTGCCGCGGTGCAGTGGCCTCGAGTGTCTGGGATTGGGGACTCGCGCCCCCAAATCATCCCCTCCCACTGGAAATTTGGAAAGCCAAGAAAACGGTTGTAAAAAAATGCATTAGACCCTTTATCCACGCTAACACAGTACTCTGTTGCATTTGGTTTAACTTTAAAGGCATTTTTGCCAAAGGCAGGACTCACACAAACAAGGACCTTTTGTGACTTCATATAGAAAAAGTATAACCCACACTAATTTTTTTTTACACTGAGAGTTTTTTAATACTGAACAGTCAACTGAATTTTTTTGCCATCTTTTGGAATCATGCAACGAAAGTTTCTGCAAAAAGTAGAAAAGTTGTGTTTGTTTCTTTGCATTGTTTTATTTGTTTGCTTGCATTTGTTGGGTTGTTGGGTTGTTGGTGTGTTTGTTTGTTTGTTTGTTTGTTTTTGCTTTTCTTTCCTGAGAAAAAATGCACCCAAAAGGTGCCCGCTGAACCAGAAATAAGTATATTCTACCTAACACCCATTAGTTTCGAGCTCCGAGTGTAGTGGCTCTATGCGATCTCGACCGCTGGAGGACGCCTAGGCTGTTTCCCTGTCCTAACAATGCCCGAGGGTTGTCAGCTGACGATAGATTGCATGCCACAAGTACATGACCAAACGTCAAGGATGCCGGTCTTTTTTCAGATGCAGCCCATGCGTAAAAATTAAATGATGAAAAATAACAAATCCCCCTCCTGGTCTCACGCCAAGGCCACGAAGGCAAGTGTTGCTGATGATGGAGAGAGAGAGAGACAGAGAGACAGAGAGACAGAAATAACAACAACAACAACAACACAGGTGTGTTTTCCTTGATTTCTTTCACGTAGAGTGGGGAGACTCCGCCGTGTGATGATGAAGACTACCCAGGGACGGGAGAGGGCGGTAGCGGCTGTAAGAGTGCTGGTAGCGGTGAACCCGAGACAGAAAGCCCGATCAGCAGCCTGATTTACCATTACTAGCGATTGAATCCTCACCGCTTCCCCTCAGGATGAGCCCTTTGAGCCGAGTGGAATTCGGTCTTTGGAGAAACATTTAGACGCTTATAAAACTGTATGATAACTCTTCTTTAACACTTTTTAAGGGGGTTCCACTTTCGATACGAAAAAGTATTCTCCGTATAGAATGCGTTGTTTGGTTTGCAAGACAAGGAAAAAAAATGAATGATAAAAGTAATGGCAATGATAAAAGAAATACAAGAACCAAATATTTGAGAATTTAATCCAATGTGAACAAAGAAGATTGGTCAAAGTAGGTCATGCCACGCTATATCCTGCCCTACATTGCGCTACTTGGTTCGACAGCTAATACATGTACATAATTCTGGCTGGGGGGGGGGTCAGGCAAATGAATTCCCTTTCGGTTCGGTATTTTTCTTTCGCTGTTGATTTAGTTCACTATTTTTTCCCTGCAGTTATGGTTAAACCAAAAACTTCAAATTCCTCTCTTAAATTACGTGTGTATAGCCCCACCGTGTAGGCCTTCACCACATAAGGTGACAATTTCTTGTGTTGAAGAAGACAAAAATTGGACCCTATAAACGTTTTGTATTGAGTCCTCATAACGTCTGTATTTGAATACGAGGGCGCTTTGTGTACGATTGAGCCTCTATACACAGTAGCCCATTGGAGACTGCCGTTATATTTTCTTACGGCCAGTGACCTTTCAACCTGAGCACTTACCTAGTATTACCTGTCGATACAAGCCTTTCAGTGCGACCATTCTATTCCCTACACTGAGCATGGTATTGGTAATATTTCAGAAAGGACGTGTATATTCTGACAGAGATCTTTGCGCATTTTTTCTACAGCACATTGAGCAAGTTTCCGCTTGAAAACCCATGTTGACCACCCAACCACCCACCCAACCACCCAACTAACCCACCAACCACCCATGAGGACTCTGTCCCATTCAAAGAGGATTTTAGATTGTTGTTCTCCTTTCGTTTTCTACTGTTTCCCCTATTTTCCAACATTCTGTACTGTAGCCATTTTGCTTTTAAAGGTCTGCATGAAACTGTCTGCTTCTTTTCCGTCAGGACAAAAAAATTACGTCACCACGTGATCACTTTACAATTCCTGCTGTGTCCAGTTTTGTAATCCTCGCAAGTGGCTTGTGTCGTGTTTAAACTTGTCTATCAAATCCTCCATGTCCTTGTTACATGCTCAAAATTGTCTGTCACAAATTGCGGGAAGTTTTACATTTTATGTCACATATGAAATAGTAGCAATAAGAGAGAGAAGCCAGAAAATAAAAGTACGCATTACACTAGAATAAAGTTCCACCTGGAAAATGTTTTTGCACGGCAAAATATGCGACTCCTTTCTTTGTGTTTCTCTCGGGGAGTCGTGTCCATGACAGATTTCCAAGATAGGGCGTTTCAAAATGAAAACGAAGTTGATTCATCCGGCCAAAACGGAGCTATTATTTGTCGGGAGACGGAAGTCCCACGGGTATTTAGCTACGCTGGTATTTTACGTCTGTGCGAAAGTCTGATGAACTTAAGTCATAAATAGCGACCTCTATCGCCAAATCATTCAGAACATTACACTATTTTTTAATGGGGGTGGCTCGTTTTATTCTTTGCTTGAAATGGGGGTTTTCTAGGTCTTTATTGTATTTTGATGTTTAAAGCTGATCACACTTTCCTAAAGCTAAACATTTGAAACAAAAAATAAAATTCTTCCCTTCAACATTTTTCCACAACGTCGTTTTCACCGACAACAATAGCCCACGAAAAATAGACCATCCTTCTTTGTGCGCTTTTCAAGCCGAAAAGGGCGCCTCAAACGACCCTCATTGGTTGGTTTTTTATGCACGTTGGACAGAGAAATTGGGCTATTGGAGCTATAAATAGGCCTAGGTCACATGCGTTTGTATTTACCCTGGCCTGTTGAGCGTGCACCGTCACAGGAGTACATGTATGCGTACATGTACGTGCCTGCGGTACATAGTGCATATGGGCAATCAGATGATGAGCTACACCATACTGCAATACACTTAAGGTACGGCTGAGGATGGCATCCGAATGACAGTGGAAAGAATCTTGTGGTTCGCGCTGTTCATGGGATACCTTTGTGGATTAACTTCAACGTGTTTCTGCTGCGGAAACTGTTAAGTGTTGCGCTTGCCGTAACGTTTTATTCTTCTGTGTGGGATATTAGTTATATTTGTTGATTAGGCCTAGCGCTCTACCACAGTTCCCAGGACTGCGACAGAAACGACAAGATGCCGCTATTCCACCGAGAGAAGCGAGGGCGTGAACCGGTGAGGCCGAAGTTAGAGGATAAATACGACCTCAAGGAAGTGTTGGGAACGTAAGTAGGCCCTATCACTCAGCCTATGTTCGTGAATCGCTCTAGCAGAGCCAAACAACAGAGGGACAACCTTTGCTGCATTTGTCATGTTAATCGAGAGTGTCGATGGTTGACTAGTCTTAGATTGTGTGGATTTGGGCCGGGAAAGTGAGAAAAGTGATGTTGCTTGAGTTTCATCTCAGAACTACCTGGTACATGTACACGATTTACTCATGTAGGCCTTTTCTGTGTCCTTTGTTATGCCCCAGCAAAGCTAGACTTAGGAACTTGAGTCACTAAAGGTTATAGGTCAAGGGCCACCGAGCAGGCTTCTACTTTTCTGAAGTATGTTGACGGCTGTTACGAAAAGAAGTGGTAGTGATCATTGCATTTTTATTCGGATATTGATATCTGTTCGTTTACAAACTGTACAATGCACTCGCTGAATGTATGTGTTATTTTGTCGAACAGTTAAAACTCCAAAAGGCGTCCTCAAACACTATGAACATGGGACCGACACGTAACAGCCCTTGACATACTTCAGAAAAGTTGATGCGTGCTCAGTGGTGCATAACCCATAACACCGTGACATACGGTGGATGTGTGGCAGAATTCAAGCGACATTGCTCTGGAATTTGTCTTGAAATATCAGTACAGGGAAACGGTAAAAGGTACCAAAATAAATTTTGGAGGGATATTAACCCTCTCAACATACACTGTATTGAATGTTAAGCTCTGAAAAACGTATTTAAAGTTGTTTTCGGGGGACCCTAGCAACGGGGAGTCTCCACACATAAAGTGTATGGTCTCGTGTAGCTCACTATATGGGGGTAGTCCAGTGTACTGTTTGAGCCACATTGTGGGGCTAAAAATATACGTGACATAGGCCTGATGTACCTTCCAAATGGCCTGCTGGTTTCAATTCATGTCAAAGGCAATCTAATGTGACTAAAAGAGCACGAGATCATTCCGTCGGCTGAAAACTGATGACATACAACCGAATTTCACTTATATTGCCTGCTGCCAAATGAAAATTGACTGCCCACACATCTGCACACATGGGAGGAATTCCTCCTAGTTCCAAAAAATTTCCCACACTGCCCAAACTTCTCCAAACGCATTCTGTTGAAAATTCGGGTATTGCCACCAAAGCCGCAGATTTGGGCAAGTAAAATATTGTTTCTATTTGTAGATTCCCTCATACACATCATAATTTGAAAAAAATTCCTAAATTTCTTGTATTGTTTCACATACTGATCTCTCACTTAAATTGCACTTACTTAAAGAGTGCTGACTGGTCAAACAAGATGGATACAGTGTGTACGTTACACCTACAAATAGAATGGGATGTCCTAGGAATTAAATCAAACTCTCTTTTCATGGATGACAGCTACTAGTGCCTGCCGTCATGTTTTTGATACTGCGGGGAAATCTGCTCCGAGCGGAACAAAAGAGGGCATGTTTTTCGGCACCCACCACACAGGCGCGCCATGAGGTGCGCAAGTACATGTACAGTATATATGCGTGTTTGATGCGCAGCACGCTGAGTACGCATAACTAATTTATTCCGGCTTGTATGGTCTTTGCGTACACGCAAAATGCGTGCAAGAACCCACTTGTAACCACCTGTCTTTCTTTTCGCCAATTGGGGCTGCATGTCAGCTTGGGGTGGATAGCCAGACTTCACCAAGAGAAACTCTTGTCAGTGAGTGTACATGTCACTGTATTTTCTGGTCTGGTCAAATGAGGGATGTACCGGTACATGTATTGTACCAGTACTTCTGTGCATATATGGGATACATACTGTTTCAAATTTTTGGTTGTACGATCCAGGGGGGCCTTCTCGGAGGTGGTGATGGCAGAAGACAAGACCACTGGACAGTCTGTAGCAATAAAATGCATCGACAGAAGGGCCCTGAAGGGCAAAGAGGACACGCTAGAGAACGAGGTCTGCGTCCTAAAGAGGTAAGAGATTCATGCAGCCTGATTGACTGCACAGTGTGGGGGCATCCTCGCATCCACTAGACTCCGCCGCATTTCCTGTGTTCAGAGCACAATGTACATCTGTATCTCATACATATCCACGTTCGAGAGCCAAATTCTCATTGGACCATCCACTATCAAGCATCTTCGTTATTTTTCTGTCTGCCAAACGCGTAAGCAAGCTTTCATGCGCAGAGTAAATATGCATATGAACTATCACACTGTTGTGTTAGTCTGTTAGTTTGTCTGGGCGTTGCCTTTACATACATGTAGATTGAGGAACTGTCACACTGATGTAGTACACACATATGCGAACATCGCCTGCGAAACTGTGGGTCATCATTTTCCCGCGCCCAGTGATGCTGAACTGGTTGTGTTTTTATTTCACAGAGGTTAACTGAATATGAGGTACCCCCGGTAGAATAAAACAAAAGTAACTTAGTTTATTTTGGTTATAAATATGCAACCTGAAAACCACGTTTTAGTTTTGCACTGCCCAAGGGACCAGTCTGCTTGTTGAGTTTAGATGAGACTTTCCTCCAGACTGCTCAGTGTTACTAAACCGAATGGCCAGATTTTCATCGATTGTGCAGGGAGCCCTTGGAGTTTACATACGGCTGACCTTTATTTGACCACTTGCACAGAGGTCTGAGCTGCAAAACACATCCACTGTTTAAAAGAAATGCCCAAAAATGCAGTGTCTAATATGCCATTTTTACAACTACTGATGGGCAGAAACCTTTCATGGAACTTTAATGTTCAAATGTACATGTAAGAGTTATTGAAATAGATTAAAAAAGGAAAAACAAGAGCAGGCACCCTGAATTAATAAAAGAACACTCTGCATAATTGTAGTGGAAAACATTTACTGCCTGGTTCACGTTTCAGTTGCATGGTGAGGTACTTTCACAACTGTTATTTTCCCTCAAATCAAGCATCCTTTACATTTTGGTAAATTGATATACTTTCAATCCACATCACCTGATAACATTGCAGATATGATGTGTGAATGCCCGCTGAGTAGAGAAACGTTTGGCATTTATGACGCCATGCCCTACTGCATTACACTCTTGACCTAGATAAACTGGTCTTTTTATAACCCTGAATTCTATCCTGTAAGACTACGGGGTGGTCATTTACTTTTTTTCATTGGCTTGAACATTCCAGTAATTATCAGTCGGTTTGCGCATCACGCTTAGGTTTCCAGAAAATATTGTTGCATGTATTGTTGGAATATTCTGGCTTCAGCTATGCAAAAGAAAAGATTGAGTATTTTGTGACTTGAGCACAATGTGGGAATTACATGTATGCTGGTTAAATATAAATAAAATAAGAACAAATTAAAGATTAAAAAAATCTATAATAAAAACGTCTTCATAATGGGCACTTTTAGTCTTGAAAGACTTTGTGTATTTGAAATGACAAATTAATTTACTTCGGAATAGTGCGAAAAATGGCTAATAGAAGGAAATGATAGAATTAATACTGCTGTTATTAAAAAATGAAGGCCTTCGAGGGAGTGTCCCATGACTTATGATGATGATTGACGTTATCATGACGGCAATTTGAGTGCAGATCTTCACCCTCTTGCTAAGGTCTTAACTTCATGTACGTTAAGTGTGAGTAAGATTGAAGATTTCAAACTGGCCGAAGTGCCACTTGGAAAAGTGATTTACATGTTGATGAGATTTTGGAGAGAAAAATACGAAAAAGGAAGGGGGAATAAAAAGGAAATAAGATGAAATTCCTGACGAAAGCAAAAGCTTCCCCACAGTTGCTGAAAGCCAAAAACGAAGAGTTCCTGCGTCATTCAGTATTTGGTGTTGACTGTTCACCTACACGTACATGTATTGTGCTTGTGACAAAAGACCACTTTCTGCCTGTAGCTTGGCACCATCCACTGTCTGTCTGCTGCACACGTTTCAAAGGCTCGCTCAGGTAGGAGAGAGACCACCTCCAGCAGCACGCAATAATGCATGTGGGTAAAGGAAATTGAATTAAATCTGCTTTGCTGTGGTCAAGGTGAATCCAAACAAACTCCAGTTCTGTCAACAAAAGGCTTACAATCCTGATGGCGTCAGAGTGGTCTTTCTGATTGGCTGTTTATCACAGCAGTAAGACAAATGATCAGTTAGGCTATGTTGCTGTTGCTGGACTTCGGCAGATGGAAGAAAATCTGAAGGGCGTTAGGGTTGAGGCACTGATTTTTTTATTTGTACGCCAAGAACATTGACAAAATTAACCCTTTTAAAAAGCTTTACGTGATCTGCACTGATTCTCCGTCAAGATTCTTTGTAAATTTTGCCTTTAGGAGTAAGGTTGGGACATCATTCTGGTAACATGTTTGTTGCATTTAATTCAGGTAACAGGTGCAATTTTTCAAATTGGAAGCTCAACACATAGACGCACATGTACAGTGTCCTCTTCAGACTCTGTACAAATGCCTACTGATTTGAACCAATTGGGGGAGTCGGATGACAATCACTGGTAACATTCCATTTCATGCATATATACATGTATTTCAAGTTGCAGACCGCTGCTACTGCATCGGTACGTGTTGTAAGATTCTCCATCCTTGCTTTGGTAAGTTACATGCATGCATTGTAGGAAATGGTGTCCCTTGTTCTTGGGAACCAGACTGCAATGAATGCATCATCAGGTGACTTCACAGAGGTGGTGAATTTGTGGTCCAGTCGGCTGGCCCATACTGTACTGTTGCTGTGAAATTTGCTTAACATGTGCATGTACATCAGTGTCATTATTGATTGCAAAGACTTTTTTTTACACTTTCCCTCCAGAATCCGGCATTCAAACATCGTGAAGCTCTACGAGATATTTGAGAATAAAACACATGTGTACCTCGTCATTGAACTGTAAGTAAACCATACACCTCATTCTTGTTTTCAAATGAAATTTGTTGAAGACTTCTGGCTTTTTGACACACTTCCTCTGCTTACGAGTAATTTGAACTGGCCAAATTTAACAAACAAAATGTTTGTCAAAATGTGGCTCCATGAACCAGGACCAGGTTAGTTGTGTATTTTTTTTGCAGTTTGTCAGTACAGTTACTTGGTCATGGTTTTGCTGGCGATGTTGTATCCAGTAAACAGGAAAATTTAGAGGACTTGAGCTACATGTGCCAATATGTATACGTATTCTGGCATGCAGCGTCCAAGAGAAAAAGAGCTTTGGGACACAGAAAAGTTGCTTAATTGCATTTAAAAAAAAAAGAAAGCAAGTTCCAGTCCTGGAAGAACCCAATCCCTGAACAAAACCAGAGGGAGGAATATCCAGTGGACTGTAGAAGGTTGAAGAAAGCTAGAAGTTGCATTTGGCTGTTTGGCATCGTCAGATCTACAGGCTACTGATTACATCGCCTAGCATCATGTGTATCAGTTCCTTTTTTTGTTGCTTTCCCCAGGAGAAACAATTTTAGGAGTCCTGTTATCAGAGACAAATCGGACCACTTTAATTATATTAAATTTGTAAAGAAACAAAATTCACAGCTTATTTTTTGTCCGCAAATTTAATTGGTCGTGTATCGTTTATTATATCGTTAATGAAAAGGAGGATCATTTGTATACCAGTTAGTCGCTAGTTGATGTGCTGATTTGATGTAGTTGCCAATGCAAAGGATAAACTTCTGTGCGTTAAACATTGAGCCTGGCATACATATAGTAATAGCAGTATTGACTAGGCGGTATAATCAGGAATGCATGGAATTATTAAAATTGAATACCTTGATGTCGCTTGTGATGAATTCACAAGTTGTCAGGGTTGAAAATCTGTTCTCTTTAGTATTTTTCCGCTTAAAATCTGACCCATCTTATTTGGTGGCCCGCAGATCCCCCTGAAACAGCAGCATGGAATTTAATGATCAGAGGATTCCTGTTTGTTAGATGATGAAAAGAAATCAGGACGATCAGTTGATTGCTATTTAGCATCCACTTACGCTGCTATACACGTGCCTCTGACGTTGCCTGCCCACTAGCTACTGTATGCTTGGCTCTCTGCCGCTCTTCACTCTCCAAACCGACTCCCCCCCCCGCAAACGGCTCCACTGAAAAAAAAAATGCTGAGTACCCGTCAGTGCATACTAATGTCAAACAACTTTATTGGAGAGGTGTGCTCGAAGGCACAGAGATTGGAGTCGTCTCAGCATGAATGTGCACATGCAGGTGGCACACTGGTTACATGCAAACTCTGGAACTCTGTCCTTTTATTTCTTGCCCTTATTTGTTTTTAGGCACTCAAGTACATTGTAAATATGCTGCATAAATGTGATGCTTATGTGTACGTACAGCTACTTGGTACTGCACGGTACCGGTACATGGATACACTCCCTGATACCGGCACATCCCGTGTACAGTTGGTTATACCGGTACATGTGCATAGAATTGTGTCTATGTTGATCCTGAGAATGGCACCCAGCCAGTGCCTGGGAACACGAAAGTCTTGCTTTAGAAAGGGGGAGAGTATTTTAGAGAAGGAGCCGGAGATTAGCACGAAACACTGGGTACACTGATTCCATAAGACATGCCATTGTTGGTAAACTGGAGTACGCTAGCCGTGTATTTGTCATACCTCTCTCTTGGATACTGTCTGTTTATTGGCCCAGAATGATCACATGACAGGGCGATATCCGCATATCACACTCTCTGTGAGATATCTCTTGTGTCCTGTGTGTGTATTTTAGCCACAGTATTGCTGTTATTATCCCGTCAGGTGCAAGTAACATCCATGACCTTATACCTGGGTCCCTATTGTCAAGTCTGGTTAAAACACGAAGTGGTGAAATAAGGGATATGGCCACTATATGGTCATGGACATTACTGGTTTGATGATGAGGCCTGAAGTCTGGCTGGGCAAAGATGTTGTTAGCAGACACATGCATTTACCTCAGCTGACGCCTTTTTGAGCTGAGCCCTGAGCCCTAAGTCCTAAAATGGCATCTTCAGGTTAGACTGCCCTTGAATTAAGTCAGAGTTAGCAGCATTATGTGGCACTTGCCGGAGCGGCTGCATTGTGCTGTGTTAATTGTGTCATTGCTGCTTGGAACGTCGTCAGTTGGAGTGAGTTCAATCCACTTGTAAGTGACTGGGCAACAGCGGTGCCCCATATAGAAATAGGCAGGTTAATAAGCGCAAGTAAATGTACATGCCGGTCGGAATGCCTTTTGTCAGGCTTTTCTATTGTCCAGTGGTACATATACCGAGAGGTAGTGATTCCAAGCGCAGAGCTGGCTTCCAGCTCTGTGGCTCAACTGAGTCCTTGTACCAGTTCCTTGAAAGAAACCACGGAGAAAATTGTTCTCATGTACAGTGTACAGTGAAAAATGTTGGAAACGGATATCTAGTTTATATGGGTTTTTCAGTGCATGAAATGACATACAGACAACAGTTCGTTCTGTGTACCGGTACATTGCATCTTCAATACACGCACATACCGTTATGTAGAAATTGATTAACGCTTTAGCACTCACCAAGTGGAAGAACCGTCTGCAAGTTTGCCTTGTGTAAATAATCATAACGAAAACTAAACGACGTGCAACCGGATCCCCAAAGTATTGATTTTCGCATTCAGCCGGCTAGAATTACTCATGCGTGCTTACGTGTTCCTTGCGTGCTTACGTGTTCCAACCTCCAATTGTCAGGTGCCTGTGTACTGAAGGTAAGTGCACACTACGGTTCACACATTCTGGCTGGTCCAGAAGGCTCTGTTTTGATGGGAAATCTGGACGAGCGATGAAGTACATGTGCTACCGGTAAGTTCATGTACAATGTACTCTCAGCGCACATGTTGACCTGTTCATAATGTCCTGGGAAAGAACCATTAACCCTAACCCCCAAGGATGTATGTAAAATCGTATTGAAATTGGAGGATTTGGGACTGTTAGGGTTAAAAGGGTTGCTCATTTCATTGGAAATAATTGCCATCCAACCTCTCTTGTTATTTTTATTACTCTGAATCAGTAGGCCCAAAGTGCAAAATACAATTTTTGTTCCTACATGCAACTACCAGTACACGTACCTATAAGTACTGGTACCTACCCCAACCAGTCAACTTGGAGCTGTTTTCTGAATTGATATGAAAAAGTCCAAGAAAAATGCTGTCCTACCGACATGCATGCATATGTACACATGTACATATACCTTCTTTGTTTCCAGATTTCCATGTAATTTGGCCTATTCCTTCCTCCATGGCCTGATGCACAGGTTCTTGCAGTGTCCTGGAGTACTGTTTTCGTGCATGTACCAGTATGTATTGGTACCAGTATATGTGCTGGAAAAAAAACATCAAAACCCCCTTTTTGAGGTCCAAGGGGGCTACCATTTGCATATTATATACATTTGCAAACCTGTATATGCCATAATGAATACGGCAGCCATACTGTGTACAAGTACCTGTAAAGTCCTAGGTCTTTGGTTCAACCTGTGTACATGTACATTCACATCTAGGCAGATGTGCATGTGTGGTACTAAGGACTACACGCACTTGTCCTTATAGCTCCTTGCTCTATGGTACCAGTAACAAACAAGATTCCTGTTCTGCCCAGCGATGCCAGGTTTCAGGCTATAATGTTGGGCTAATTTTAGGCCGTAAAGGAACATGTACATGTACCTGTGCACCAGTTTACTTGGCCTCCTCTGGCTTTATTTTTGGGCTCTGGAAAAGAGCCTCTAGGACTAGCTTATCCCTAGTACTGTAAGCTGCCGACAGGCAAAGTACCAGCTAACCAGTTTTCCTACTTCTTCCCATAGTACTGTACCTGCTGACTTTTTTGCAATCCCCCCCCCCCAGTATTTCAAGTTGTACGTCTATATAGTGCAGCATAAAGTAATTTGCTTTTGGCGGGTCAAAGTCGATGTCTCATGACTGCAACATGGTAATGTTGTAAACAAGCGGGGCACATTGTTTGTAGGAACCAACGCAATCACTGTGGTTACATGTTCATGCTGCAGACAGAGAGCTCTCACAGCTTGCAGAAATTTGTGAAAAATTGTCAACTCAGTGGGATGCATTGTTTGTAACAAAGCACGTTCAGTTCACTGTTAAAGTCTGCCTCCAAGATGTGTGTTCATGTACGGTATGACATACATGTACGGGAATACATGTACCTGTACATGTACTTGATGTGCTATTACATGAGCTTTGGGACAGTGTAATCCCAACAATCTTGAATCCTTTAACCCTAACAGTCCCAAATCCTCCAATTTCAATATGATTTTACGTACACCCTTGGGGGTTAGGGTTAATTTCAGTGTAATTTGTCAAACATACTGTACATGTACAGAGGCTGGGATCTTAATGTTTAATTGCAATCTGTCCACCTGCCATACATGTACAGTTGTAATACATGCGTAAATGAGCAGTAAAAATTGGAACGACATGTTCTTGTAGGTATTGGTATATACCAGAAGTGGGCACAATAGGATTGTGGCACCAGTTCATTTAACTCACAAGTTGCACAAGCGTAAATGCTAAATATGTCCCTTCCTTTTGCCTATCCCAGCATACATACAGTACATGTACATGTACATTCATCTATCCTCAAATTTAGCCTCGCATTCCAAATAGCCAATGGAGAAATCGTCCATGTTTTGGGCCACTCCTCGGCAAACTTTTGGGTTCCCTTTCTTCGAAAAGTCCTCCCAGTCTCTGCAGATGCACATATATTCACTAATATGTGTACACAAATCGAACGAGAACGACGACGAATTGTACCCTAGGATGATGGGAGAGGAAGCTGGCTTCTCATCGTGGTGGACACTGTGGCGGATGCATCGCAAATACACACACACCCTTCCTCCCTGATTGATGGGACGCTGCAGGATGCTGCCTAAGTGTGTACTGGACCTCCTTGCCGTGCATC